CCGACTATTAATTCCAATTCCAATGCGGTCTGAAAGTCTGGAAGAAGTTGCATGGTGATCAGTGCTTTGTTTAAATATTCATAAACCTTTCAACACTTAGCAAACAGCAAAAATTATTTTTAAAAAACCGTTAACACCCAACTGGCAATCCCACCAAATCAAAGAAGTGACTGGAGAAACAGAAGCCACAAATCATAGAGGCCCGGCAAAACCAGTAATCATGTGGTAGACCTTTGGAACAACATGTCATTGAGCAACATGTGCGTATCTTTCAAGTAAACTACTGTTATTTTCTTTTCTTTGCGGGGGGAGCATCTAAAACAAATGTCGCTTGCTATTTTCTATCATGCAGACGAGCTGCTGCGTCAAAGGCAGCCATATGCTTTCATCACAGTCTATCTAGTTTGAGGTCTACTCGCTGCATGCAGTTGAACTTGGAAAAGTAGAAAGAGGCTGCTTTGGTATGTGCGAGGCAGAGTGGCGAGGTGGAACACAGATCAAGTGTAGCCATACAGCCAGTGATACACAAAAGAAAAGAGCCCGTGCGTGTATTTCCATGCAGCATCCAGGAATGGAGATTAGCATTGAGCCATCAGCGAGGCTGCAGTCCTTCCCCAACGCCGCTTCCGCTGTCAGCCCCCCCCCCACCCCCCCAACCCCTCCCCGGCTTGTCAGGAGCTCCGACGAGGAGCTGTAAAAACCTTTTCCCCCTCTCCTTAACAACTGCAAAACAACATGCGCACACCCCGCCCGAGCGAGGTGCCTGCTTTTTTGAGGCCTCTTGACAGGACGCGCTGCAGGCACAAATTGTAATTCATAAAGGTTAAGGGGGTCAATGCCTTTTATTACCAGTCTGAGTGCATCCAGCTTGATGGGGCCGGCATGCAAATGGAATGTCTCCGAGTGTTCTATGCAAGAAGTCAGACAGCGGGTGTGTGCTTGCTTCTGAGTGGGAGGAAGTGGAAGGTGTCGAGTGGGGGGGTCAGGGGGGGGGGGTGTATGTGTGAGATGGCCGCCTCTCTCCACCTTCCTTCCACAGCCGTGTAGGACCACACAGCCAGGGCCCGGTTAATTAGACAGTGTGACATTGACCCGGCGTAGTTAACGGCCGCTTTGATATTCGACGCCTTGCAATTAATTCATTGTAAAGTTCATGTTTTATCATATGGTGAGCTATGACCTGTAAGGGGCTGCCCCGAGTGGGAACCTACTGGCGCAAGCCCTACAGTGGACAGTTCACTTCACAGACGTAGGAAATTAGCAGCGCACTTTAAAAAAATAATCTGCTTTCGGACACGGCCAAGAAAATTGGATGGATGTGTGGATGCAGAGCGAGAGAGATCGATTGATTGAAACATGATGTAATGTAGAATACTTTGGATTTGAAGCATTTGGATTTTTTTTTTTCATATTGCATTTTATTTTATTCTATTTAAACACTTGCATACATATGGTCAACAAGTATGTCAAACTTTTCCAGATGAATTTCTTTGCACTGATTCTGAATCTGCTCTCATCTTTTTCTCGAGCACTTACGGTTTTCATAAGAATGATAATATAACAATAAAATGAAATGGAATATAGTAACGGTTTGTAATATTGATTAATTTTTAGGTTCAGCAACAGGTGGAATTTTTTTTCTGAATCGTCACAGCTTTAATTTACAACACATTGTAAAATCCGTTTGCAAACTTTTACAGGTCAATATTAAAAACAAAAAAATGCAAACGTCTCAAAAACTTGATGAGCCCGCTAAAAACGTTTGAAATCAGCATCCAAACACACAAAAAGCCATCTCTGATTAAAATTTGCTCTTGACCAGTATTATTAGTACTGTAGTATCTATCAATCTATCTGACCATCTGTCTGTCTGTAGGTTGGCGGGTGGGTGTAGTCGAGTTAGTATTTATTTGGGGTGATTATTGAGTTGAATATCAGGAGGATCACATATCTAGCTGTCAAGCAACGTTTTCTGCTGATGGCATTTGCCCAATTGCCATCGAGTCCAGCAACATTAAAAAACAGTGCTCATTAGACTCTATTGCGGCCTCTACTGGGCATTTGCTTGAATGGCCTTATTTTTGCAGGTCATACTTTCAGTTCTTGTTCGTGTATGTATGGGAATGAATGAGCACAAAAATGCTGGAATTCTTTTATGTGTGCAGAGAAACGAAGTAGCTTTTGAGTACAACATTTTTAAAATATTCAACTATTAGAAAGGTAAAATAAATATTCAATAACAAATCTGTGACTTTATTGTAAAATGGACTGATTGTTAGCCCTTGATGATTATATGCATCAATCATTCTTCTGTCTGTGCGTGCGGTGTAATATAGTGTCATGATTTTAGGGAAAGTGAAGCAATCATACCTGCAGAGCTATTGTACTTCCCTGAAAAGTGAGCATGCGGCAACTAGTGACCCCCTGCGCTCATTACCTTTCCACCACAGAGCAGCTGCTGCCAAGTCATTCGTCATGATTACAAATCCACCTGGTGACACGGGAGCCTGAAGTTCCACTATCAGCCTGGAAGTACCGGTCAGCTGCAACCACACTGCCATGAGAAACCCCTCCCTCCGGACGGTGTGCTAAATTGACGCCACAACAGTTTTTTTCTGTGTACAACCTTCATATTAAAGCACTTTAAGACCACGTTATTTTCATTAGCATGACAACAAAGACAACTGGATAGGTCCCACCAAAGCAAAATTGACCCCCAATAATAATTAATTGACCAACGTCTCATTAAAACAAATTGTCACTGTGATAATTTACTACCCAAATTTATTATAGTTGTATGAATCGCAAATTATTATTTTTTAAATAAATACACATTGTTATTTGGTTGCATTCACAAAGTGTCAATTTGTACGTGTAAATAAAGTTGCATTCAAAATGACCTTCCTGTCATCATCCGGGTCCCTGGACATATCCCGCTACGCATGCGCACTCTGTCACTGTGGTTCGACCTCTGCAGTCGGTAAGTGTGAAATGGCAGTCCGTGCGAGAAACATAATCCGATATCCCTTATCATCCTTTCATCAAACGTAGGATTGCTGCATGCAAAGTGCGAGAGGCTGTAGAATAGATACCAATCTCAATACGGGTTGCTTTATTTTCTCTGTGTATCATTTTAACACTCGTTTGACCTTAGTTCTGTCTGCTCTTCCCTCCTCAGAGAGACCCGGGCTTCAACCAGATTCGACCGAACCGGTTAAAAACTACTTGAAGTAGAAAATGTACGCCTGTGCAAAGTTCGTTTCCTCGCCGGCTCTGGTGAGTTTTTCCCTCTGTTTGTATTTGAACGATTTTAATTGAAGCCCTGCGCTTTGAATCTCGCCGTCAAACCGCGGCGGGCCTATGAATGAACTTGACTGCAGCTTGAATGGCAAGGGTATCTGCAGCTTTGCTAGGTGGCTAATGCTAACACGGACTTTGACAGTCGTTGTCATACAACCATTTCATAAAGTGTTTTTTTTTTTTTTCGACAATGCAATCTTGCATTCATTACAAACTTTTCAAAATTGCTTTTATTGTGAGCCTGCTGCAGTCATGAGCAACGGTGGAGCTATTGGCAAAGGTCATTTAGCCTATGCCACCATAGAACACCAAGCTTCTATCAAACAAGTTTTTACACTTGTTCTAGCTCGCTTTAATCAACATTGCTGAGGGATAATTTTTTTCAAACTGTTAGCTTCTCCTCATGGGCAAGTGACACATAATTGATGTCACTTGCTACAAATATGCCACATCTAAGACTTGGTACAATACTGCTGGACATACAGAGAGATTATGTTGTGCTGTTGCAGGTCCGTGCTGGTTCCCGGGCTCTTTATAGACCCCTGTCTGCCTCTGTGCTGTCCAGGCCTGAGGTCAAAACAGAGGTAAGCATGTTTGCTTGTGGCTCTTGATCAAGACAGCCAGCCTCTCTGCTGCTGTTTTGGTGAAATTATTAAAAATTCCTCGGTTTTAATACGCAAAGAGCAAAAACTCATTCAGGTTGTTTGTAGCCTCTCTGTGACTAAAGATATGTGAACTGTCACCACCTTAATAAAAATAATGCCTCAGACCCCCCCCCCCTTTTTTATTTTTTTTATTTTTAAAGGAACTTGAAAATACTGAGTAGACACATTCATTTTAGAAGTAGAAGGATCTGTTTATCTATGGATGGAGCTGCTTTTTGCAGAGGTGGCCAGCAACCTGAGGAGGTGTTTATGGAAAATATTTTTTGTCAAAATATGTCAGAGGACAATATTTTAAGAAGGTAATCATTAAAATATTTTAGCCATAGACATGATCCCTGCCAGTCACGACTTAACACCTCGACATATAGCAAACAATGTTGTCTGACTTGTTAAGCAATATGGAGGGTTGAATTCACAAAAGACAACGGTTCATTGGATACTGGAATCCCCTTTGGGATCGAGTGGAAGAGCTTTGAATTGTTCTACCTGTCGTTGGCATAGATAAACGAAGATGCGTTATTTGTAGCACAACAGAAGTTCAAAATTGACAGTAAAGTTGACCACGCCCAAGTGTGAAGAGGAAAAAAAATGTCTGAATTGACTCGCTTATCACTCCCACAATTTTTTTACTTTTAAAGGCAAATAGGTGGGGGGGGGTAAATAAGTGTGGCCTTCCACGAATAACCTGAGATGGATTCCCTAAAACAAATCATGAATTCATGTATGCTGATCTGCGAATATGGCAGGAAGCGCTGTGAACACCTGTTTTCATTGCAGAGCACTGTTGCTGTGATGCCACAGAGCCCCCTCGCTCAGGTCACACTGAGGGGCTTCCAGACAAGCGCAGTGAGCCGGGACATTGACACCGCCGCCAAGTTTATCGGTGCCGGAGCCGCCACAGTCGGTGTTGCCGGATCTGGTGCTGGAATCGGGACCGTGTTCGGCAGTCTGATCATTGGCTATGCTAGGTGCGCCTCAGTTTTATGCATGCCTGCTATAGATTAACACTGTATACAGTATAATTCATTGGTTTATTTTTCCTTCCCCACCTTTGAAGAAACCCATCTCTGAAGCAGCAGCTGTTCTCCTATGCCATCCTGGGATTTGCCCTGTCTGAAGCCATGGGACTGTTCTGTTTGATGGTCGCTTTCCTGATCCTGTTTGCTATGTAAAACTCTGCTGTCCAACTTTCATTACAGATGTGACTACACTTTGTGGCTTCCTAAATTTGTTCCGTGTTGGTGTCAAGGAAATGTACATTTTCAAAGTCGTTCAGGCACTGTCAAGATGAGCGAAAACATGTATTTTACAAATGTAAGACATTACAAGATTAAAATGCATGTATTTGGCTGTTTAACAAAGTTATGTTTGGGGATAGTTTGGAAACAACCAAAAGCAGCTGGTCTGAATGTCATCTATTATGCGATTAGCTGCCAAAGACTTGCCTTGCTTCCTGAGAGATCTCATGGAAGCTTTTGTTTTTTGGGTCCACCTACATAAGTCAGTGGTTGAGTTGCAGTTTAATAGTTCTGCTTTTGGGCAGCAGGTGAGTGGCTTTTGTAAATGGCATTGAATAAATTTAGAACATTTAAATGACCTCAGGATATAATGCTTGACCTTTATTGAATGTTGGCTCTAGTTTTATTTGAGTTGGTGTGAAGGATTTACAAGGATGCAAACACTACCCTTAAACATGATGACAAATTAACAGATGCTTAAAAAATGCAGTTGATGGTAGTCTTTATACAAGGAATATCTCTGGTAAACTTTCTGGTTACGATGTGTCTGAAATATAGAAGTTCCTCTGAATTGCCAAAGTCTTTAGAAAAGCTATCAGTGAAATATGAAAAGAAAACCAGCTCTGAATGAAATGTAAAAAAAAAAAAAAGAAATTTAAGGTTTACTGGCATACTCAAAACTAAGGGAAGGAACAATACTGTACGTAGTCCAGTACTTTGAAACCAAGAGCCCAAATACAATACAATGTTTTTAATTACGTCTAATAGCCCATTCCGGTTTGTGTAATTATAAAGATTAATTTTAATGCGTACTGGCGACTCGCAGCCTACTTTTTTTTTTAAATTATGCTCACATGGGAACCTTGAAAAGCTTCGTTTCGAGAGATGTTTTCTTGCTGTGAATGATGTCATTCTTGTGACGAATGCGGAAACTTCCGACCACCTCTCGCGATAGTTGGCACCAGACGTGGGATTTTGGAAAAATCTAGCAGGGTAGTGGCTGGTTGTAAGGGTAAGTAGAGTCCACATCTCTGGAGGAATGCTTAGAACGCTATCTAGCATCACGTCGTGCCTGGGTGACTGGCAAATTTATGTGTAATCTTTGCTATTTAATTGAACAAACGCACCCCCTTTGTTAAGGCAGTATTTAAATCCAAATATGGCGACGGTTGTATGTTCACGCGGGGCTACGGCTATTTTCATGAAAACAACTGAATTTACGCCGTTGTGTGATGCTGTGGTTGTACCATTTCGTACGATGACCAATTGAGTGTTAAAGTCTCAAACGTAGACCGGAGCGAGAGGTGACAGTCGCCCTGTGCAAGAATAACAAGACGGAGGAGGATGTGGTGTTATGATGAGCCATAGGTGTCAACAACTGTAGTAACCGCCCATCTTTGACTTGCTTTGTCCACATCTTTTCTCTTTTTTTTTGGTAGCCAGCCTCCTTCCCGTTTGTCTATTACAATTTAAATTGCAATAAAAATTCTGTCTACACACGAAACATTCAGTCTCGTTGATAAACACACCACATCACCGTTTAAACTACTTGTTTTTCTGATCCCGTTACAGGCTGACATAACTGGAAACGCTTAATATGAGTGATGATAAACCTTTCCAATGTACTGCTCCTGGCTGTGGACAGGTAACTCCACTTTTAATGATCCCACTTCATGTTTCTTTGTAGAACAAAATAATTGTGTAGTAAATTTCACAATGACAGACAAGGTGTCACACAGCCCTCTTTAGAAAGTGGTCAATTTTGATTGATAGTCATATGTATTTAACAACGATGATAGAAGTTATATTTAGCCAACCAGTCCATTGGCTGTTCTGTCTTTTTTTTAATACCCCTTGATGAAGATTTTGAAGTGTCAAAAAATGCCAAAGAAAAAGCAAAGCACAGGTTTTCACCTATTGCCCGTGGGTCTGGAAGGAATATCCTGTGATAATCCAGGGTTCACTATAATATCCCTCACTTGGAAAAATGGCTCTTAAAACACAAACTGTTAAAATAATGAAGTGAATAAGTCAAGCTGTTCCCCTCCGTACTTGCATGATTCAAATGAACTAACTCCAAGTAATAAAGCATATTTGTCTGAATGCCGCATGTCGTTTTCCTGTTGTCTTGTTTGTTCTACCAGAGATTTACAAATGAAGACCACTTGGCTGTCCACAAGCACAAACATGAGATGACCCTCAAATTTGGTCCAGCCAGGACCGACAGTGTCATAATTGCTGGTAAAACCTAACAATGTACCGAAACGTGCTTGATTTTTTTTTTTTTTTTACCACCCAGTGTATGTCCTGAAACCTTTCCTTCCCTTGCAGACCAAACACCCACCCCAACACGCTTTTTGAAGAACTGTGAGGAGGTGGGGCTCTTCAATGAACTCACAAGCCCCTTCGATCACGACTTCAAAAAGGGGGCTGAAGATGATCTTAAAAAGGTTGAAAACCCATCAGCTCATCTGGAATTTGTGTCTCTGCTGTTCATTCCTAACGCGCTCATTGGCATGACTTTTCTGTAGTTACCGCTGGATTTGTCACCGCTCGCCACCCCTGTCGTACGCCACAAAAGTGAAGAAACCGCCGCCCTCGAGGCCCATCGAGGCAGCCCTTTGCCTCACCCGGAATCTACAACCGACGACGACAAGGTGAAACACTTCTTTTCTTCTTTGCTAGACTTATGTCGCGGAGTGCATATGTTTCTGATCTGCCTCTTTAAATCCACTCCTACTAATGTCCATATAATCAGTCATGAGGCTGGAAATTGGAAATATGATTTTGCGGGTGGGGAGGAATCAGGGATTTCGGTTTAAGGGTCAATCACTTTTTGAAATTTGAACAAATTTCAAAGCAAACCAGCGTGTTTAACTTTGGAACTTCCACTGTATTGTCATCACTACCTGAGGTGAAAGATGTTTCTGATAGCAATAGGGAATTGTTATGAGAATATTCAGAAAACTAATCACATTTTCTCTCTTCTTCATCTCTTTCCTTGTAAACATCGAGTTGAAAAACAAGGACACGTGTTGTCCGCTCTTGTTGCAGCTGAGATGTTGTGTGGTGTTTCCAGGACTTATGTTTGCAGCCAGCCTCGCTGCCAACATCCGCTATAGTCCATCCTGCATCCCTCCAAGTTCCCAATGTACTCCTAGCAACCTCAGAGGCTAATGTTGTTTTACAGCAAGCGCTCCCATCGCCAACTAGCTCTGTTATTACCCAGGTCCCATCCACTAGTAGGCCGATAGTGTAAGTAACTCAGAATGTCCGTTTTAGAAAGAACAAAATCATAGTTGATTTACTCAAATCTTATTTCATTGTAACTTTTTTTTTTTTTGGTGTGTGCTAGTTTTGTCTTAGTGGGGCATGTGCTTGTTCTGTCTTTAATTTCAGTGCAGTTTACAGAATCTTCATTTTGGCTGTCGTAATTTTTTTTTTTCTTTCCAAATGAAAAATGTCAACCCCCAGTGTGTTGTTATCATTGACTTGAATTTTAAACGCTCGAGAAAGTGGCTGTATTTCTGTTCAAGAATAGAATTGCTCTTCACATGCAAGGTTGTGTGTAGTCTATGTCGTGAAAAACAGCCTGTTGGTGGCGTGCCGTGTGTCCATGTGATTTGTTCATCAGATAGTAACGAATAGGTGTAAAGGCTTACTTGCTAAACACAATCAACATTCATATCATTTACCGGTAACATCCCAGCAAAACGCAGTCGTATTGCTTGAGCTTATTGGGTGTTTCTTCATTCTCATCAGTTGGAGCTTGAATGTGACAGAACATTTTTGCCACCACTGTCACTAATTTGTGTTTTCTTTAAACTGTGAACTGTCTTTTTTGGGGGGCGGGGCCTGACCATGATGTCTTTTGTTTCCTGCTGCAGGCCAGTGTCTGGCACCTTTCCAGTGCTCTTACAACTGCCTAACGGCCAGACCATGCCAGTTGCCATTCCGGCGGCCATTACCAGTTCCAGTGTACATATTCCCACTGCGATCCCAGTGAGTGCTCCGCTGGTTATTGACGCTGTGTTCAAAGAACTAGAAATGATCTGCATAGTTTTTGCATGCTAATTCATTTCTTCCTTTCCCTGCCAAAATCTGATCACACTCGACAATTACTTTTGTTTATCAAAAGGATTATTCTCCTGTACTATTCTCTGCATGAATTACATTGACCGCAACAGTATTTCCCCGTTGTTCCCAGGAAAAATGTTAACTGTGAATGCGCATAGCGAGTTGCTCTCACTTGACCTCCCGACATGCTTTCAAAAACATTAGACCCGCTTCTTAATTGTGATCGGCCAGTGAGGGAGATGAGGGTCATGTTGCGAATCGGCGTGCCAACGAACGCAAGTGCTCCTCAAGTGCTGTTCAGACAACACTTAGTGATTGATTAATGCCACATTTTGTCCTTGCTCGTCTCCCGTTCTCTTGGACAGCGGGGACTATTTACGACATTGGCACGGCAAATTTGGCAGTCAATTTGGATCCGGGGAGTGCGCGAGGAAAGTAATGGACTCTGTATGGCCGTGACGAATACGCGGGAATTGGCTGAAGCGCAACAGGAACCCGTCCAACACACTCTGTCATTTGTCCTTGTTCATGTCGAATCAACGTTCTTGATTTCTGGCAGAGCACTTGGATTTGCGTTAATGCGTTTTTGCAATCCCATTATAAGTGCGGCTCGGGCTAGGCTTGTGAATTTTGTGCGGCAAGGTGGATGTCGATAAAATGTTACCTGGACATGCGAATTTAGTTTGCTCTGCGACCAAGCTCAATTTACTTGTACATTTACTCAGTTTTGCCCATTGACATTCACTGAAATGTCATCGATCCATACCAGACCCAATAAAACACTGTACTATATTGTAGACCAAAGACCAAACCATTTGTGTATCATAAATCCCAAATTGTTTATTGTAATACAGATGAATATATTGCTTGTTTGTTAAGAAAAAAAGATGGGAAGACGACCTTGGAAAAAAAAAATAAGCGCATATTAAATCGTAATATCAAACCAAAAATCATTCAGCTCTACCGCCGACCCAGCAACATCTCATCAGCGGCTCTAAGAGAAGTTCTGCTTCTGGACCTCCAACTTGGCTCTCTCATCGCCTCTTCAGCCTCCCTGCCCATATGCTCTCACACAGCCAGGCAGAGGTTCATTAGCGAGCGCGCACACACACACACACACACACACACACACACACACACACACACACACACACAGCATCTCCATGCGGCGCCGCCTCCACAAAATAACGGGCTATCCGACATAATGAGGCTGAGATATGAGGGAACTCTGCTGCCTGTGTGCGTGTGTGTTGTGGGGGGGAGCATGAGTCCGCCTTCTACAGGGGAAAGACTAATTTTGTGCTGCTGCGTCTCTCTGTGTGTCTGCTGTCAGCTTGTCAGACCTGTCACCGTAGTGCCTAACGTCCCCGGCATCCCCGGACCCCCCTCGCCACAACCGCCGCCCGCCCAGTCAGAGGCAAAGCTGGTATTTATCATTGTTCTAGTGTTACATCAAATATTTGTGACTCACTTGAATATAACATTCCATACACGCCAGTATCCCATTTTGTGGGATGAAGATACTTCATTGTCTTCCGAAAGGAAGAAATGTTTTCAATGGCGTTTGTTTATATTGCGAAAGCACTTGTTAAATTCTTTGTTCTTCCGCTATTCATGACCTGGCCAAATTTTGAGTAAAACTATGTTTTGGAAGTGGAAAACACACAAGAAATTGTCAAAAGACTAAAAGGTTTTTTGTAGAGATCTTTTTATATAAATGTATGCCTTATTCTTTTTTTGGGGGGGGGGGGTACTTATAGAACTCAGTAATTTTGGGAAGCAAATTTGTATTTCTTTGCTTTTAAAGCTCTTTCACTCTGCTTTTAAATGTTTGAATGTTTGTTCGAATGTACCGGTAGTTTTATTTACACTATGTGAAGCATGTTTTGTTGTGTACGACATGCGCTATAAATCAGTGATTCTATTATTTTTTTTTGAACAACCCCTCGGTAGCGCCTAGGTAATAGTATCTAAAGAATGTGAAAAATGTTGCTCAATCTGGAATCTGTTTTTTTTTTAAAATATGTGACACTGTGATGAAGCACATTTCGCAGAACCTGTCAGCGTTCTCAGCATGCCTTGCTGCTTGAAATTAACAGATAAACTGTGGACAGGAAGCGTTTTTGTTGGCACGGCGAAATTGATCCCGACTGAGAAGGAGGAGGAGGACGGCGAAGGGGGTGTTGTTCGGAATCACGGGGTGCGGAGATGACAAACGCGGAGATGGCATACAGCACTTCACTGGGGAGTGCGGGGGGCTACTAGTGAAAGCCAGCTGGGGGGCATCCTGGCACACGCTCAGCGAGACGCATGAAGTCGCCCTCACCCTGCATGGAACCTTTTTGTTCAGCAGAATCCTGCCTGACCTGCATCCCCCACCTCTTCCCTTTCCCGGCGCCTCCCACTGCACTCAGCTCATCAGCAAACACCTAATGAGCCCACGTCAACGAAACAGACCCCTACTCAACCTGAGAGGAGAACGGGGGGAGGAGGGGATGCTTGAGGGAGGGCGGCGCAGCGACTGCGCTTTACAAGGACTGATGATGCTGCAAAGACCACAATAATGATAATTAACTTGCTGAATTTAGAAGATTATACTGTTAATTAGTTGCAAAATAAAGATAAGTAATATAGTAGCAGATGGTTGAATAACACCCATGAGAGGGAGGGTTATTACACTGATGAGCTTTCCATGGCAGAGATGAAATATGAATCTGACTGGCTTCCCCCTCTTTCTCGAGGCCATTCCAAGAGAATAATATCTTGTTTCTGCCAGAAGAGCTTCTGGAAGGGTATTACACCATAAACTCATTTGGTAGATAGATTGGGCTGGCAAAGGTACTTGTTAGAATAATGCGCTCCTCTGTTTTCTCATGTAAATGTATCGCCTCTCACTTTGTTAGTGTTTCGAAGGGCTCATTCTCTTTCACCTTGTTGGCTGCTGATTTGATGCCTGTGCTCGTGGTGTTGAGTTATCATCGCTAGCAATTGCCCGCACGTGCTGATCAGTCTTTTGTACGCTGAGAGAGCTTCAGGAAGTACATTTAAGAATGGACGCGGTTCGGGATGCGGCAGTCAAATAGTTTTAGAGTCGAGCATCTCATCGATGAATCAAGTCACCGGATTAAAATTCAATTTTCATTGTTCGCCACAATAGTATGCATGTGATGTGCAGATGTTCTCTTAGTGTCTGTGACTTTGTATGTGTACGGCTTTAAAAGGTGGGGCCTAGCCTGGTGAGTGACATGGGTGTCAGCTCATGTGTTGAGTCACTCAGAAACTTCTCTATGAATGGTTTTTTTTTCCGAATGAAGGCCAGGCCTTGGGATGTAAATATGTGAAATTTTAGCGATGAGCTTTCGTGCGCCTGTGAAGTCTTTAACAAAAGACTTTTTATAAGATTTTATAGTGTCGGGGTTTTGTGCCTATGTGCCCCTTCCAAAGGGGCATCAACTTTTCACACAAAGTTGGCAGCTGCAATAACGATGAAATTAATGGGAACGTGTGATGCGTCTTCTTTTCCAGAAGCCAAAAGGCTCACCTAGCCAGCAGCTTCCTCCACTCATCAACGGTGACAGCAGTGAAGTCCAGAGCAGCGCCATAACGCACACTGCTGCTCCTGCTTCTCCGGCCTCGATCCCCATTCCTACTCATGTGTTGAGTCACTCAGAAACTTCTCTATGAATGGTTTTTTTTTCCGAATGAAGGCCAGGCCTTGGGATGTAAATATGTGAAATTTTAGCGATGAGCTTTCACGCTCCTGTGAAGTCCTTAACATGAAGACTTTTTATAAGATTTTGCCCAAAGGGGCATCAACATTTCACAATAACGATTGCAGAAACAATGAAATTCATGGAAACTTGTGATGCGTCGTCTTTTTCAGAAGCCAAAAGGCTCACCGAGCCAGCAGCTTCCTCCACTCATCAACGGTGACAGCAGTGAAGTCCAGAGCAGCGCCATAACGCACACTGCTGCTCCTGCTTCTCCAGCACCGGATTAAAATTCAATTTTCATTGTTCGCCACAATAGTATGCATGTGATGTGCAGATGTTCTCTTAGTGTCTGTGACTTTGTATGTGTACGGCTTTAAAAGGTGGGGCCTAGCCTGGTGAGTGACATGGGTGTCAGCTCATGTGTTGAGTCACTCAGAAACTTCTCTATGAATGGTTTTTTTTTCCGAATGAAGGCCAGGCCTTGGGATGTAAATATGTGAAATTTTAGCGATGAGCTTTCGTGCGCCTGTGAAGTCTTTAACAAAAGACTTTTTATAAGATTTTATAGTGTCGGGGTTTTGTGCCTATGTGCCCCTTCCAAAGGGGCATCAACTTTTCACACAAAGTTGGCAGCTGCAATAACGATGAAATTAATGGGAACGTGTGATGCGTCTTCTTTTCCAGAAGCCAAAAGGCTCACCTAGCCAGCAGCTTCCTCCACTCATCAACGGTGACAGCAGTGAAGTCCAGAGCAGCGCCATAACGCACACTGCTGCTCCTGCTTCTCCAGCCTCGATCCCCATTCCTACTCCATCCACATCCCTCGGTCTGGCCTCTAACCCGCCCGCACCCACCAGTGAAGAACTCTCCACACATTCCCTTCAGCAGCCAGCCACCTCCACCACAGAGACACCCGTAAGTACATTACTCACACACGTAGGTCTAATATACACCATTTTTTTGTGTTGTCGATGTTTCCCACCTCCAATACACCTTATTCAAATGTTTCGATCCTTATCAGGCTCCTGCAGAGCTTGCTGACAAAACGTCTAAAATATGCAGGATACCGGCCTTCAAAGGGTTTGGCACCTGTGGTGTAGTGGTTCACTTATCCGAGTTTGGTGCAGGCAGTGTCAGTTCAATTCTGACTCTACACGCTTTATGAGTCACTGGTGACCATTCCAGGGTGTACACGGCTTTGTTGTCCCAAGTCAGCTGCGATCGGCCCCAACTGCACACAACCTGGAACAGGATAAGCCAAAGAAAGAATGAATTCATGACTGCCAACGTCTTTACATGGGTCTCAAAAACAAACACAATGGGTTTCGCACTATTTACTTCCATCCACGTGATTTATGAATTTGTTGCAGGCTTCCCCGGCGCCCCCTGCGTCAAACCCCCCAAGCACCGGCGGTCGGCGGCGCAGAACCACGAGCGACGACCCAGATGAGAAGCGGCGCAAGTTCCTGGAGCGCAACAGGGCCGCAGCCTCGCGCTGCAGACAGAAGAGGAAAGTGTGGGTGCAGTCCTTGGAGAAGAAGGCCGACGACCTCAACTCCGTAAACGGACAACTTCAGGTACTCCGCCGATGATCATCGCGTGTATGCGCTCTCCTGTCAACGTGCGCAGACTTTGCCTGCTGTCGTGATGAAGTCATTAAAGCCCATTAATAAGTGATGCCGCACGACAGCAGCGGCGCGCGTATGCGTTGGGGGCCTTTACATCGATACGTGGCTGTCAATAAAGATGTATCCTCCAGATGTCAGCCGCACACAAGCGTGTCCTCGCTTCTGTCTCGGTAGTTTACCGAATGGCCTCAAAACTCTCAGAGGGAAAGGTGTCTGCTTGAACCTTCATTTCGTTACAAGCAATTAAGAATGCAATGCTGACAAGTTCGAAGCAGGTCATGTATCGTCTCTGTTGATGTGTTTGTCGGGGGGTTCGGCACATCAGTGTTCCGGACAATTAAATCATGTTTACGTGGTGCCATCTTTTTGGGGACGAGGAGGAGTAGATGCTGTAGAAGGGGAACGACATCAAGAAGGTCGAATTAGTTGACATTCAGGTGAATAGCAAGTTAACAAAGGAAATGCCATTTCAAATCAAGAGGATAATAGGAGGCACGTTTAAGATGCACGGATAGTATTATGCCTCAAGTACAAAGAAGGAAATGACACATGGAAAGAGTACAAAAGAACATTTTGTACAAAGACATTAATGAGCAGCGCACTTTGAAACAGACACGGCCCAGCTGATCACCAAAACACTCTAATGAGCCACAATTACTCGAACATCATCCTTAACTTGCTTTTTAACGAGGGTCAGAGCCAGCAGCTCTCAGGACTCCCAGCATCGCGCAAAAACCCATTTGCCCAAACTCGTTTAACTCTTGAGTCCGAAGCAAGTTTCCGGCTCTGCGTTGCGATGTAGTGTGATAGGTTATTGTGCAGGAACTCGTTTCCCTCCATAAGTAACCAAAGAGGAGCATACTTCATTTTATATCTGATTCATGGATGGGTTGATCAATCGAATCATCTTTTAAGAAAATAATGATCCTCAGTCTCGATTGATTGTTGTCATAATGATATAAATACAATACATAATATTGTTCTGTTATTGTTGTTTGCACTGATGTCGAATTTCACTGCATCGCCCCGAGAGCTGTTTCAAATGTTTTGGCTACCTTCCAAAATTACAACAATTGTGAACACATCGATGAAGCAACACTTTGGCAGTTTTCAATACCGTCCTTGTATTGGATCTCATTGCCTTGTGTGTCATGCTGAATGTGGAGAGACGGCGTGAACGTATCGTATTAATCAGGCTCGCAAAGCGGCGCAAATGTAATACAAACGGTAAATCCGGCTGTGTTTAAATCTGTGTTACAATACTTTGATCCTGCCAACCCCAGTTTAGTTAAACAGATGGATTCAAATACAGTATAGTGCTGCCTTTTAGACTAATAGATTGAGTCACTTGCCGCTTCTTAAAGGAGGGGGGAGAAGCTTAAATCTGCCACCGGTTTTTCCACGCGCCCCGTTTGCTCTAAATCCAGTTAAAGTCACCTTCAGCCTCACGTTTTTTTTTTTCTTCTTCATTTTTACAACATGCAGAAATCCCCGCCTCCGCTGGGAGCTCTAACGCACGAATGTAAATCTCGGCAGCATCTACGAAGGTGCACCAACAATTACAGAGCTCGCTTTATAGAGCACAAGTGAGCTTCGACTGGACTGAGGATTTGCAGATTTGGGTTATTGAAGATATATTGCCATTAGCTTGTTGTACATTTAAACGATTGAAGTGTCAAGTGTGCAGAGAGTTGTTTGGGAGCACAATGGTAGTATGATACCTTGACTTCTGAGTTTCATTCGTTCTGTGACCAAATCACTCCTATCTCAAATTAGCTTTCCTTATCGAAATGAACGGAAATGCCATGAGATCCCTTCCAGCCAGCCGTCTTCAAAGCACACTACATAATATTATATATGGCTTGAGCGATCTGGATCTATTTATTTATTTGTTGAGGCTGCTGTTGATACATGGCAGAATATAAGTCTGATATATGATTACCAGTAATCGTTCGGTTAATATAAAAACATTTTACATGACTCTGTATTTAGAGTTTACTGAATCGACAAAAGGGGGAGAAAAAAATGTTCATCACCCCCCCAAAAAAAAAAAAAAAAAGCAAAAAATGTCATTTGTTTTATTTAATGAAAGATTGGTTTCCTAAAAAACAGGCGGGAGAATATTGACATTTTATTTTTTGGGTGTGGCCGTAAAAAGCTTGAAGTGAGCACACTGGGGATCTTTTGGAAAAACTGATCAAACTGCTCACTCACTCAGGGAGGGCAGAATAGACAATATGGTTAGGAAAAAAAAAAAAATCAACCAAGCCACGGCTTGTTTGTAACTTGAAACCTTTGTAAGTTGGACAACTCATATGTCAAGGTTCCACTGTAGAATGCTCCCCCTCATTTTGACATGTGCATATTGTGCCAGTCGTCCAACTACCGGCGTCATTTGACAGCGTTGCCGTGTGTCTCCTGTCTCCCGAATAAGAGTGAAGTCACCCTGCTGAGAAGCGAAGTGGCTCAGCTGAAGCAGCTCCTCTTGGCTCATAAAGATTGTCCTGTGACGGCCATGCAGAAGAAGTCCGGCTATCACAGTGAGTAATGCGCTATTATTCTCCGTTCCCGGGCCTCTTGCCGCCAGCTCCTCAAAAAAAAAAAAATGAGCTCCGTCGAATCGCAGCCCGCAACGGGAACAGATATTGACAACATGCACGCACTCCCCTGTCTTCCCTCAACTTGGGAAAGGTTGACATATTATTAGACAGGTGTACTTTGAAACAAATCCTCGCTACAGTAGTTGAATCCATCTAAGGGACCACAGGTGGTGTAACTATAAGCAACCAATTGTTAAGCTTCTTATATGACACCTAAATAAATATTTGGTCGGCCGCCCCCATTTTTCTTTTTTTACCAAATGTTGAGATCTTTTACTGGATCATTAGGTTGTGACGAAAAGAAAAATGACTTTATTATCTTAACTTTTCTGCCCAATGATACATTTTAGTCTTGAAAACATTACGACTTCTTATATTACAACTTTATTCTTTTTTTTTTTTTTTTTGCCTTCCCTAATACTCCTTCGTTTATGAGTGAATAGATTGATGTGACTGATTTTGCCTTGTTTAATTAGCAGAATTCCTCATCAACAGCATATGAATATAATTCGGTTATGACACGCTTTCCAGCACCTACTTAAATTACAAATGTCCAATAAAGGGTTGAGGCGAGTGATATTTGATTCATTTGTCCATAAGAACTCTTATTAGATATGAAACCCAATCACTTTTCATTATAGAGCAAAGCGAAGCAAACGGGCTCTCTCTCCAGACTCGAAATCTCAGTTGGAGTCCAGTCAGACTCTGACATGACTGATTTGGTAAAGTGCCTCATTTCATTCTGGCTGATCCGCGGCTGCCTCACCCACAAGACCCAAATAAGCCTTCCTCCTTCACGGTTCTGCCTGGGTGCGGTGGCAAGTGGGAAGAAATTACTCAAGACTGTCCTTTCAGTTAGCCAACTTGAGTTTGGCACACTCGCCGGCCATCTGCTCGCCGCGAGAGCAGGTAGAAGCTTATTTGAGGCCCGTGACATCACTTCACGTTTTTGTTTTTTTTGGAGCAGATTATGCTCACCTGAACTTGGGTCAAACACGACATATTGAGAAGGTTGACCCTCGAGATGATGAAACCGCGAAATGAATGGGTCAAAGTCAGGACATTTGCACCTTAATTTGCAATCCGCGCACTCTCAAGATGGCTGCAAAAACAAGCTGCTTCCTTTCATGAGCGATATTAGCTTCCATTATGCTCTGTAAGTGGGGTAAATAAACAGCTACCGCATTATCCCGACAATGAGGGCCAAAATAAAGCATTTGACCTCCCGTGGGATGAACGAAAGCAAAGGCTCCAACCCTGGGTTTTCTCTTCAAGATTATCCTGGGAACCACGGATTCACAAATTGTTGCGACGTTGCTTCGTTGATGTACAAAAGAGAAGGAAAGGTGCGGGGGAAAAAAAGGAGAGGCAGATATTTGAGAGGTTGCTGGGGGTGATAGGCTCATTCATTAACCACACTCATGAATCAATTTTAACGGAAGAAAGTCTCCCGACAGGTGCATATGAAGGTATTAATATAACCGATTTTTTTTTCTTAAACACACTTTTGAAAGCTATGGGAAAATTTGAGACCAGTGCAATGATCAGTCTTTCCCGATTTGCAAGTTGATTGATTGATATGAGGACATAATAGAGATATTTGTAAATGTTGAACTTTTTTAAACAGTGAAGAAAAGAGAACAGTGACAGTTGCCTTCTTCAGCACAGTTTAGTGGGAAGAAGTAAAAGAAAAAAAAAAAAGTTTCCACCTATAACTACTGTGTATGATTGAGTAAAATGATTCCCCCTCCCCCTCAAACAACTGACACATAACTCCCAAATTCCAAGTATAAATATTGTTACGGCCTGTATTAGCCGAAATATGAAAGCAGTCAAAGTGGCTTTTTCAATTTCTTCTTTCTTGGGTTATGTGTGGTGCGGTGTTGATATTTCATATCATAGATTTTATTTCTCCACTGCACCGCACACGATAAGAGCATCAAACACACTCACGGTCATGTTTTTGCCCTCCTCATGCACGGGGTCTCAAGCCCGCTTTCTTTCGTTACAAACCGGAGAGCCGAGCCTTCGTTCTCCCTCCTCCCCATCAGCATCCAATTAATTCAAGGCGAGTGCCTTAACAGCTGGTGGCATTTTGACTCCAAGTCTTGCGTACTCTCTAGTGTGAGCATCATTAAAATCAGGTGCTGTAATCATCTGTCGCTGCAGTCGTTGGCAAGGTAACCAAAAAAACAAATGGGATCTAGGTGGGGGCGGGGAGGGGGATGCCCTCATGATGGACATTTAAATTGACATTGGGAGCTTTCATGAAATGGAAGGGTGCGGAGACGCAGTGTAATCGCGACGAACGGAAAAGCTTTTTGAGAGCGGGCCAATCGCACTTGGGCGTCCCGCTTGGCGCCTTTCGCAGCTCCTCCAAGACGTTTGTCCCCCCCTCACTGCAGTCGCCGACAAAGACGGGAGCTGCGAGGAAATGTCGCTCCCCGGCAGCCCTCAGAGCGAGGCCATCCAGCACAGCTCCGTCAGCACCTCCAACGGGGTCAGCTCCTCCTCGTCCTCGGCGCCCGCCCCGTCCAACCAGAGCACAGACGACAACCAGCCACTGAGCGGCGCCCCCAACTCTCTGCCTTCGGGGAGCTGATTGTCCCCCCCGCCCCTGTTCGATGTGTCTCGGTGTCCCACACAAACACGGGGAAGGGCTTGTCCTCCTGCCTCACTTTGGACCATTGTCACATTTATTTATTCTCTCCTTACGTTGGGTCCGTTTTATTCTCTGAAGGCAACAGTGATGTGACGGTGACAACAGGAAATGGCACTTTACGAGTATTGGAATGCGATTCTAACTTAATTTATTAATCTTAAAGGGAAAGTCAAGTTCTTTACTGTAATAATGGTCAACAGAGAATTTTAGTCAGAGATGGATTTATGTGTCCCCAAATGTATTTTTGAAGCTGATTTCCCTTTTTTTCTTTCCTTCTAGCATGTCCGGTTTTCAGCAATTTTTTTGTTTTTAAGCTTGACCTATAAACACTGGCCAATATAGATGTTTTTTTTATTTTTTAATCCTGCGTTGTAATTTTTAGCTGACGTTTCAGAAAGATATTCCTAACCCTTAATTTGTCAATTTTAATAACTATATGACTATATTACTTATTGTATTATTATTATTATGTCACTGTTATTATGAAAAGCTTTTGTGCTAGGGGAAAAACGAGCAGATTCGGAATCAGCACCAAAAAAAAAAAAAAATCATCATGCCTCTGACTAAAACATGAAGTAAAAATTTGTTGACCACTCTAATGTTTACCGGAACATGTCGAAACATCGGTTTCTGATTATTATTGCGTTTGTGAAACAGGAATTAAGCAGAATCATGAGTACGAAAACCAAGAATACATTTGATGGACCAATTTTAGGGAAGAGGAATCCTTCAATAAATGCAACAAATATCGGAGGATTCTTCACTGCTTATAGATGAGATGACACAACTGCACCAATTTGTTCGGTAAGACACTGGCATGGAAAAGGGAGTTCAGAACATTCAGAGTGATGTCGTTCCTGATTAATTTACTGTCCCGAAAAAATTTGAGTCCGCTGCCCATCCCTCGTGAAGAGGTTGCAATACAAGTGTTTTTGCACATTTTATTTATTGTATTTATTTCATTATATAAAGCAGCGCGATCGATTTATCTTTTTGTTGTTGTTTTTGATTTGCTTTCTGTATTTTGCACATTTCAGAGAAACGACGGGTTTACCTTTTTTCAAGCAGTGGCAGCTTTTGTCGCACACGCAAACACGCACACAAATGGCTGAATCCGATGTTCCCATTGGACTTATTTTGAATTCTGCGCTGTTGGGATCCGCTATCGTCGCTTTGGGCCGTTCTGAGAATGTTCACGCGTAGCCTCTGGCCGTTCACACGAATGGAGGAGGCCCGTTTAGAAGCCTTCGTGTTTCCAGCAACATTCCGCCCGTAGTTGATTGTTGCCTGTGATTGTCGGCCTGCGTCGTCATGGCGATGGCCTCCTGATTCAACGCCCGTTCATGTTTTGGTAGACATGGTCGGTTGACACTAAGTGGGGGCGCCTTCCTTTTCCTCTTGAAGTTGAGTGTAAATAGCTTCATGCCGCACACGTGACAAGATGATGCTCCTCCGGTTGCTCCTTTTCAATGAAATCGCGTAGGAAAAACATCACAGATACATTTGTATGTTCTAGGTGTTGTGCTTCATAGTTCTTTATAATAGCTGAACGGTTCCAAAGTTTTGCGGAATTTTCGAGAAAACGACCAGAAATAAAATAGGTTCCGCCGTGATGTTAAAATGTATTCTCTACTGGCTTACTACTGTGTAGTCATCCAAGATGATTTTTGTTCTTCTTTTCTTCGGTTTTGTGCTCTCTGCATGACATTATGATTCTCTGCGAGAATTCAACAATGTTTCAGTCACCTGTCAAGTCATCAAGCGGCGTTGTTTTAGTTGTACTACTCAACCAGGGTGTGATCTTGTGTTCAGTGTGTACTTGTGATGGTGAACGTTCTCTTATCAATTTCAATTGATAACTTGTTGAAATAAACCTTTTAATAGCTATTTACATTCGTCTCTGCTTCTTTTTAATTGTGCAGAAATAGAAATATCTCTAGTTTTTTTTTATTTGCACTAGATATGAACAGCTATCACAATAACATCTTGCGTTGGATTTTTCCCACACACAAAAAAAAAATCATTTAAAGTATTTCATGTAGTTTTTCTGTGGTGTCTACTGCCACCCAGTGGCACCATAAAGTCAAGCATTGAAGCAAAATTTGCCATGAAATGGATTTTATATAAATATGAGAGCCAGTTAAAGTCAAGTACTGTGTTTCCTGTTGGACCCTTTCAAAAGTGGTGTCCCTCCCTGTGGCAAATGTTTTACTCGTAAACCAAACATTCCCACAGATTTTTGGTCCATTCATGTGCGTCTCGTGAAATTAGAAGAGAAAAAGTTCATTTCATTGTTGTAATTCATTTGAAAAACTGACGTTCATTTATACATTTTTTTTTTCATCAAACACAAAGGAAAATATTGTGCAGAAGGTCAATTTCGACGGAATTTCGATATTAAAAATCATTTTGATTGTTTCTTCATCTTAATGTTTCGAGGTCGTGTGTTCAAATCCCGGTTTCGTCCTTCCCGCGTGGTGTGGAGAATGATGGGATAGATGTTTTTAATTTTCTTGCAATGGTGAATTGCCCCTTAAAAAAATAGAGAGAGAGAGAGAGAGAGATTTTTTTTTTTTAAGCGAGTGAGAGAAATGCTCTATTATCAAATTTCCCCCAGGTGGCGCTGCCTTCAAACGTATTGGAGTGGTGTGACTGAAGTGGACCGTTCCTGTCGACAGGATGGTTAGGAGAATGACCTTCCACAACACAAATAGCTCGACTGGAATTAAGTGTTGATACGCTTACACTTGCTGTTGAATGACATGCAATTTAATAAGTTCCCCTGTTCCCCTCAAATATACTTGAAATGAAATTGTTGGTCTATTTTAATGTAGGCGGCCGAGTGGTTAGCGCATCCACCTCACAGTGCAGAGGTGCCGGGTTCGATTCTAGCTCCGGCCTTCCTGTGTTGAGTTTGCATGTTCTCCCCGTGGCTGTGTGGGTTTTCTCCGGGTACTCCGGTTTCCTCCCACTTTCCAAAAACATGCATTGCAGGTAAATGGACGCACAACCATTTGCGCTCACAATCACAGGGATAATTTAGAGTCCCTGTGATTGTGAGCGCAAATGGTTGTGCATCTATGTGTGCCCTGCAATTGGCTGGCAACCAGTTCAGGGTGTCCCCCGCCTACTACCCGAAGACGGCTGGGATAGACTCCAGCATGCCCACGACCCGTGGGAGGATAAGCGGATCAAAAAATGGATGGATGGGTACAGATTTGACCTAAAATCAACATAATAATGAGTTAGAATATGAATTTACTCGTTTACTGAATTCTCAATAGCAACAAGGCGCTTCTGGATGGTGCATAAGTAGGCCATGCTTGATTAGCTGCTGATCGCACCAACATTATTATGTGGGTCACGGCATTCACAAATAACATGTTTGCTTTGGGAGCCGGGAGGGGGGGCTTTATACATACAAAGCCGCAAGCAAAAACGATGCCGCTACGCTGCGACATCATCTTTAAGGGGATGATGAGTACAAAGCGTCGCAGTGTAACATCAGGCCAATTCCTTTATTTTATCATGCCCACTGAAAACATGAACGAGATGGGAGATTCAGCTCTTATTTACAGCTGACAAACGACGACTTTGTATCAAAACACCACCTTTTTTTTTATTTTATTTTTTTAGATGAGCAACATTATTAGAGCAGATGTTAAAATGCAAAGAGAAAAGAGATTCAAGCCAGCGTGGGACTGCATAAATGTAGCCCAATTTTGAGCCGACGGACATGTCGCAGATAAACAGTGTCTCAAAGCCGATTATGAGTTGTCTTGCCGCGTCGACCTTCGAACAGTTGGACCGATAGGAAGACGGTGCCCCCCTACATATGACGAGAGACAGGACGTGGCATACGCAAGCACAATGTGGTGTCCGGTATTTAAAAAGCCACTTGAACAAAAGGGGAAATATCAAGCATAAGTAGCATTTCATCTCGTGCTCCTGGTGTTTTGGGTCATGATTTTACTCACCTATTCAGTTTCATCTTGATTTAAATTGACACACGTCGTCAACACACTTTGTATAAGTGATAACAAACACAATGTATAGGTAAAAACGGCCAGATGATGTACTGACAGGCAGATTGATTCCATAACGTGGCGAGCGTTTGACCCTTAGCGGTGTGCCCGTGTGGAGCAGCACTTTTAATTAAGCGAGGATTAAGGCCAAACACCCTCATTGACAGGCAAATGTGTCATAAATACAAACGAAGCGACACCCTGCTTGTTTTTCTTTAGGGGGCATCAGGGGTAAATTAAAAAAAAAGGCGCAGGCTGGTGAATAAAAGATGCCGCAGGCTAACAATGAAGAGCTGCTGAGTGCCATTTTTTTTTTTTCTCAGAACCGGCTTTAACCCCTCAAATCCGGGGAGACGGAGATGAAACAGCTTGATTTACATTTAATTCAGATTATGTAAATAGACTGCTTGTGTCCCAAACCAAACAGGAACAAGCTGCCCGCAGCAGCCACTCAAGATGGCGTCTATTATGATGCAAATGTCAAGGAGGAGAAGATTTCGTTCGCACATAATGTGGCCGTTCATTTATTCAGTCGTGAAGCTCAGATGAGAAATGATAAATCATGACGAGGAGTGACTGGCCATCTACTTTGACTCCTTTCGCCCTGGACGGGACGACGGTTGCAAAGAAATGGCAAATTTCCAGTCAATTGGGATTTAGAAATGCAGTAGAATCTCGATTTAACGGACTGGTTGGGGGAAGGGGGCGACCATTACGTTGAAGTACTCTCCAGGACCTAAAAACACCCAATACAGTATAAAATTGTTATATTGTGCTTTTTTTTTCCCTAGGCTAAAAATGCCCAATACAGTACAAAAATATTGTAGATGAATATAGAAAAGCTTGACACAGTTTACCCAAGGGAGAAGCGTAACAGCTTATCCGGTCGTGTTCATGAGCCCCACAATGTTTCACCTCCGTTATGATTTGGTGCCACATGGCTTTATGGAAAAAAAAACAACTGTGCCATAAACAGTGTGTTCAAGAGATGTGTACATGACTCGCACCTGAGTTAAAAAAATAACAAAAAATGAAATGCCCCTGCCAATGTGGCCGCCATATTGACGCACATTTTAGCCTGCTCTAGTCTACCGCAAAGTCTGTTTGTCTTTTACAGGAATGAAGCGCAATCCTGAAACATGCAACCACTCTCTTATCTCTTAATGTCACCAGAGTACCGTTTACTGGCAATATTGGTACTAACAGACTCAAATGTACCGTACAAAATTGCATTTTGAGTGTGCGAGACACTATTTTTCTGGACCCTGTTGGTTCCGGGTTTCTAAAAGCTTTCACTGTTCTCAGCATTTAAAAAAAAAAAAAAGATTCCTGCAGCTTACTGATCTGATGTGACCGTCGTCTTTGTGTATTTACTCTGTATGTATTTCCGTTCTGCCCCCTTGTGGCCAAGGGGCGCACACTCAGAAGGAGCAGCATCATGCCCATTGAATGATCATGATGTACAAACTGTTACATTCCATTCAATTTTGTTATTCCTCTCTGTTTTTATAAAGCATAATACATTAAATGGCTTTTTTTTTCTCCTCTTTA